CGCCGAAATAATCCCGGCGTTTGATCCGTCATCTGCTCTCGTGCAATAATTGCCTCTGTACCGGCCCTTTGCCGGTTTGTCCACATCTCTCTCTTTCTCTCTCTCTCTCTCTTTCTTCTTTCCTCCCTCTCCGCCTTCTCGCATTCTCTCTTACCACTTCTGACGACTGACTGCTGCTGCTGCTCCTCCTCGGTGTGTGTCGCTTTATTGCCGCCGCGTCGTTTCGCTTTGATTCGCGTAGGTACCTATCGCAAAGCCAACGGCCGGGCGACGCTAATCGGCCGGTGAATTCGAAGTGCGCTCTCTCGCTCGAGTGCCTCTTCGTCCTCGGCCGAACGCGCTTCTTTCGGCATCGCCAGATCGGAGAGAGAGAGAGAGAAAATCAGAGAAAGAGTGTGGCGCAATGAAAAATACAGGGATATCACCCCTCTTACAAATATCTCGCGGACGTCTTTCTCTCCGATTTCTTGACGAATTTTTTTTTTTAACTAAATAAATTTCTATCCCGAGTCGAAATTTAGCGTCTACATTGAACCTCAATTCCTCTTTTTTTTATGTAGGAGTAAGAGAGAAAGTAGATCCTACTTTGACGCTGCTATACGTCCGAAATTTCCTTTTTTTCTGCTAAAGTTTTTTAAAGTAGGGTTCAATTCTCAAATCAAGCTGCGCATCGCAGGCTCTGATAGACTCAAAGTAGGAGTAAGAAAAAAAAGTAGATGCTATACGTCCGAAATTTCCTTTTTTCAAAAATTGAGGTTCAGTGTAGACGCTAAATTTCGACTCGGGTTGTTTTGTTTTTTTTTTTTTAAATTCGCGGCATGTTGTGGATTTAAAAAAAAAGAAATGCGTTCAACCTTGAAATAGCCTAAAAAGAAAGAATATATTCCGCAGTTGTCTTTTTTGTTTTTTTTTCTTATTTTTACGTGATTTTTAGAGATCACAAACAATGGTTTTATCTCCGGTTGAAAGTCGTAAAGTAAGTTCTTTTTTCCCACGCGCGAATTCTTTGTGTTTCGCGCTCGGACACACACACGCGTGTTAAAAATATGCAGCAAGATTTGTAACGATGGAAACAAGAAGAGACGCAGTTGAATTGGAAAAGGCAAGTTTAAGTTTCCAGAGCGCGTAAATAGACTCCGCGATTCGATTTTTTTTTTTTTTTTTTCCGGTTTATGTATCCAGGCGGAGGACAGGTTGTGTTCGATTGCGAAGAAACCCACCGCTTGCGCGTTTTCAACGACGACGACGACGACGACGAACGCGAAGCATGTAAATTTTTCAAGCCGCAATATACCGGAAGCGCCGGTCGCGGGGACTATCGCCTCCTTATTCGGCCGACTGAATCTTTTAACGTCGGTAAGAGGCAAATCTCGTCCCCGCTTAATCCCGCGTAAAAGACGTTTCGGTTGAAACCTGTCGGTTAAACCTGCGCGATCTCTCTCTTTCTCTCTCTCTCTCTCGGAAGAACAACCGGTCGAAATCGATCAAACGACGAAGCTCTCGGAGAAAAGAGTGTTGCATGTTTTATATTCGACGTAAAAGAAAGTTCGACATGAAACTCGCGAAGGAAGATAATCCCGCGGCTCCGTTCTCTCCTCCTCCTCGTTGCTTTAAATCTCTCAGCCGTAACAGAGCGGGACTTTTAAACTTCCAGTTTTAGAGTAAGAGTCCGTGATTCCGTGATTTTAATCCTTGATGCGCCGCGCAATACGCGCATGTGTTTCGCGATTGTTTCTAACGGAGAGAGAGAGAGATTTTTTTTTGTCAATTAATTTATTTTTTATCTTTTAACGAATCACTTGGCGAGTTTTTTCTAAGAATGTTAAAGGAACGAAGGTTTAGAAGATTTTCGAGGAGAGTTTTCCGAGAAAAAGAATTCAAATAATGTAAAACACGCTGTTACGTCCGTTTCCAGATAATTGCGCCGTACTTTGACTCCGTATCTCTTCGAATCGATATATCTCTTCGAGATTTGTGAGCTTATAACGCGATTTTGCTCAAGCGTTTCTCTTCCTCAAGAGTATAGAAGATCCTTGCTCGCTCGAGCGAGCCTCGCGGCATTCTCTGTCGTTCCTTCGGGTCTACTTCGGCCACGACGGCGATCCCGTTAACGAACGACGCCATTAAGGACGCATTAACATATAATTTTCCGTGAGAAATTATAGGCGACTCAGCGCCGGGTTGCTTTGCACGGTGTTTATTACGCGTGTCCGCCGCGCCGCGCGAGAAGCGAACGGACGAGAGAGAAAGAGAAAGAGAGAGAGAGAGAGAGAGAGAGCCGCATCGGCGTCCGGAGTCGATTGGCGGTGGCGCGCGGTGTCGAGGGGCGTCGGATCGCGAGGAAAAGAAGAAGAGGAGGGAGACGCAGAGGTTTTAAATCGCGTGATGTGTTAGTGCATTCATGCGAATCCACATCGTGACGGCGAGCAGGAGGGACGCGCGTGTGTGGGATCGCGTGCGGCGGCAAGATCAAACGAAACGCGCTCTGTCTCCGTCGCGCCGCGGCTTTATATTCCGACTCTTTCTTTCTCTCTCTCTCTCTCTCTCTCTCTCTCCCGTCATCATCGTCTTCGTCGTCTCGCGCGGCTTCTCCTTTCTCTTCTTCTCTCTTCGGGTCGCGCCCGAGCTCTTCTCGCGCAAACACGCTACTAGTTTCTCACTTTTGCTCGCGAGCGCGCGTGTTCTCGCGTCTCCTTCTCGTTGCCTTCTTCGTTCTCTCTTCGTCGTCGTCGTCGTCATCGAGTCGAGACGACGACGACGACGACGACGACGACGACGACCCGACACCGGTTCTCTCTTTCTCGTCAGTCTTTCGTCCTCTTTGCCTGTATATAATTTTTCTTTTCTCTCTTTCGTTTGACGTGGAACAGGCCGTTGCAGGCGCGATTCCATTATTATCGCCGATAGTTTAATTTCCATTAATTACTGGGCGCGCGCTTTGGCTTCTCCCGCGGTGGTTATCTCGTATAAAATTAAAACGCTAATTTTTTTGAAAATTCGATTCTTATACCTGATATATCCGATATACGCCAACATGTTACATACAACCGCGGTAAATTCGATAGAATTTAACAAACAAACGCGACGAATTCCATTGTATTCCAAACATGCGAAAAAACTAGATCGAGATTTTGCGGCGAACAGGTGAAATCACGCGCGCGAGCTCTCTTCGTTTTAAGAGAGAATTTCATGTAACGGGGTCGCTCTCGTCTCGTGTACCTGACAATCTCTTTAAATCGGTATTTACCGAGGTCGATAAGATTGTCGGGACTGCCAGCTGCCAGGCCGTCGCCGCCGCCGCCGCGCCGCGCGCGCGGTTGAATCGCGCCGGGAAATGTTAAATCGTATTTCAGGTGCACTTGATGCATCGATCCGGGTTCTCGGTTGAGAAGGCATCGCAATGTATATATATACATACACACATATATTTCGAACCGTTTGTTTCGAGAAACTATCTGGTTTCCTCTTTCTTGGAAAAAAAAAAAAAATTACAAAAACTTTTTTTTCCCAAAAATTAAATTGCCACGAAAAGTGCTGAAAACTGTACTTCGAGTAATACGAAGGACGATATTTATCTATTTTTTATACCGGGAGGGAGAAAAAAAACATGATATTCTGAAAAAATGCTCTTTGCACACCAAATGCTTTCCGATATCAATGAAGCGATAAGAAACGAAATCAATAAAACTGTCAAAGTCAATAAAATGATAAGGTATATAAGCGAGGTCAAAAGGACCGACGTAACACAAGAGCATCGAATAAACTAAAGCTTAACGTTTCATCGTAAAGAGAGACGGAGATTAGAGAAAGAGAAAGAGATTAAATCTCGTATATCGATAAAAATTCTGTCTCTCTTTCTTTCTTTCAACGTCTTCAACATATATATCGTTGTTTTTTTTTCTTTTTTTTTTTTTTTTGAGATCGAATGTCATCATACTTTTTTGACGATCCAAGTCGGGCCCGGTCAAAGTGCTGACACCTTTTAAGTCGCCGACTTTCTTCCCCTTGTGTTTCCCCGCTCCGCCTGGTCCGCTCGCCTCTCCTCGTATGTCGTCATTTTTAAGTCTTTTGTGTTTTCGCTGTCCTTTTTCTCTATGCCTTTTCTCAACTGTCACACGAATTTGTCACTCTATTACTTGTTTATTATTATTTGATGATAAAATCTTGGCGGAATTAAAGAAGCGGCATTTTTTGTGTGTAATTTTTTCTTTATTTAATTATTTTTTGCAGTTGAAACAAATTGTATACAAAAGTAGTTGAGGTTCCGCGCGTCTTTTGCGCGCGAGAATTTATACGTCGAGAAAATACCGGGGGTTGAAGTGGCGTAGATGGAAAAAGAAAAAAGACGAGAGAATGTTGTTTTCACATTTGAATGAATTTTATTCGAAAGTTTATAGGCGTCTGAAATAAATCATTTGCGTTTTTGTTTGCAATTCTCTCTGTTAGCGAAGCTCTTCCAATTGATTTTTGGTTTTTTTTTTTTGCGTCAAACGGGATTTATCATCTCCGCCGATGTGTCGCTTTTTTTTTTGGCGACAATTGATCGATTGCAATTAATATGAGAAATTATTGCTCGAAGGAAAACAACAGGGGGGCGATAACCGTCGAAAAGTTCGAGTTTCTGTGTTTAAAGATTCTCTTGAGAATTTGCCCTTGTACCTGAACCCTATCACTTTTTTGTTCCGCGTCCTCGTCTCTGGTCGAGATCTGTCTTTCTCCTCTCCGTTTCCTACGAGAGCGGAGGACAAGCGCGGAGGCAGGAGCGAGAAGGATCGCGCGGCCTGCGTGGTAGAGAACGAACGTGGAGGAAAGAGGGAGGGGGAAGGGATGCACACAGCTCGGCGGAAGAGAAGAAAAAGAGAAGAAACGCGCCGCAAGGAGCAGTAGGAGAGAAGCGGAGAGGAGGGGGAAGGTGTATACGGAGATAATACTCGCTCCTCTCCCTTGGCCCCTGCTGCGGTCACTGTAGTTTCAGTCTCATCGTGTACGTTGCGTAGGACACGAGTCCTACGAGGAGGCCCGGACGCGACCCTTCGTCATCGACTTGTATACCTCTCTTCGTCCTCGTCTTCGCCGGCGAAATCTTTTCTTCGGATTGTGTGTGCCATTGTAAATCCTTCGTCGCTAAAAAAAAAAAAAAATGTGTCCGTCCGCGAGATATATGATCGATGTCTCAAGTACGCCGTGTATTTAAAGTTCATTTGAGGAATTATTATTGTTCCCCCGATGCGAGTGCTTTTATTGTTGTTGGAAATACACGTGCGTCGTCACACGCGTCGTGATAGAGGAGATTTTACGCGTGTGAACGAATACCTTGTGCGCAAGAATGTGTATCTAAGAGACATCTGTGAATTACGATCTGTTTATTCGTTTTACACGCAAGGAATCGTTTATATTGCGTAGAGAAAATCGCGGAAAAGTGATCGAGTCAAACGCGGGGGGGAAGGGAGTGATTCTCCCGACCGGTGATTTATGACCGGCGCAAAGATGATTCCCAACAACCGAGACTGATTGTAAATGTCGGCGCGGAAGTGAAGTCGATGCTCGATGAGAGATCGATGGGTGCGGATATCGGTGATAAAGCGTGAGAGAGAGAGAGAGAGAGGAGGAGAAAGTTGCGCGCATCTCCCGCGATGGGAGACTTCGATGCCCGCGTCAGGAAAATCTCGACGAGCGAATAAAATGCCGTTGTTCTGTTATATGCCGATGATGTTTCGCCACTGATCTTTACCGCCACGGCATCGCGTCACGTATCGCGAACGCGATTTCCGCAATTATCGAACGACGAGAGAGAAAGATCACAGATAGATTAGATCGATTTGTGCGCGCGTTCTGTGTGATTTTCAAGGCTGTGCGCGCGCGAGACCACCGACATCGAGAGAGAGAGAGCCGCGGAGAGCACGCCGAGAATATCTCGCGAGAATTTTTTTTTTTTTTATTATCGGTCGAAAGCGAAATAATAGTCGCAATTTATGTATGTTCCAACTTTCCAAACCTCATCTTTCGTCGGAACCCCTTCGTATTCGATTGATATTTACGGCCGCGATTTTTTTCTCAAGTTAAAAAGCAACAAAAACAAAAACAAACAAAGAAAAAAACTAAGTACTTCCGAAACTAAGTGAAGGAAATTAAAAAACTTGTGTGTTAAAAACGCTTGAGTGTTAAAAACAACAAATCTTTGGTGAAACTTTCTGTGATAATTTTTGTGAAAAAACTCTTCTTGCAACTGTGATATAATTTTTTTTCTGTAAATAAAAGAATGATTGTATATAAGGTGTCGTCGGATATCGGGTGTTTGTTGAGTGACACGTGGACTTCAAAGAAAGCAGGTAGACGAGAATCACAGTTAATAATTGTCGACCAGGGCTCGACAACGACGACAACGACAACGACGACGACGACGAACAAGACGCATCGCTGAGTTCCCATGAACCGGCGCGGAGTCAAGGTATTTAATTGCGGTGAATTACGGTAGACTATTAATTATATAGCGCGCGTCAAACGGATCATTAATTGCGACACCTACTACTCTCTCTCTGAAGAGAGTTCACTTCCGTCTCGCATGCGGATTCTCATTATTATCGTGCGACCGCGCAACGTGCTGAGGAGAAAAATGTGTGAAAAAAAAAAAAGAATGTTTTCACAAAAAAGCGCGGCTTGTAAACTTCTTTTTTTATTTAAACAATTAAAGAATCTNTTCAGGCTCTGAAGTTTCTAAACTAATAAATTATATATTCGGTCATGAGAGCCGTTCGCTAGGTGTTGTGCGGAAATTATATACGTGTATATATATATATCCATATATACGTGTTCACATGTAAATTTTTACACGTGAAATTCGAATTGAAATAACAATTCTAAAATTCATATTGGATGCTACACTTGCATCTTGTATATGAGAAATCCCAAATACCCCCCCCCCTTTTTTTTTATTTTTTATTTTTTTCAATTTTCATAATCGGTTGAAATTCCATTTTTGTTCGATCTTCTGAAAACTGAACGTTCTTGTTAATTGAATAAGGGAAACCGATACTCTTTCTTTTTTGGTTGTTGGTATTTTCTCATCGGTAATTTTCCTAATTCCCTGTGCCGAGATACTTTCAAAGCTGCTGCCTATACAATGACATTGTCCGAAGATGTAACAAGAGATAGCTGACATGAGCATTTGGAAAACTCGTAGGCGGCTTTTCAGGTAGTTGGTCGCGCTGAGAAAGAGAGAGAGAGAGAGAGACAGAGAGACAGACGGTAGGCTTTTGCTCAATGCCGCACTGAACGTTGTCCTTCCCCGACCGTTAGCCACCTGGGGTGAAGCGGTATCCTCAGAAGTTTCTTTTTTTTTTTGAAAGATTTGCAACTCGAATAGCGTAACTTTGTAAAGTTGATGTATGTAAAAGTCGTCTGCCGATAACAACGTTTGACACGCCCTTTGACCACTTCCGCCTCGGTTTTTCACCGGCGCCGCCCGTATCGCATAACCGTAGCTCTCTAACGTCCAGACAAAAAACCATTCATCAAGTCTCTATAGATTATTGACAGAGAAAAAACACACGGATCCTTCGACTTGATCTCGTTTGGCGTTAGAAAACGATTTTTCGGTGACCCACAAAATGTCTCTTTTTTAGATTATAAAGTCTCGAATTAATCTTCTCGCCGATCGAAATAACGATCATAAATATTTATGTACGATAACAACACATACGCGCACGCGCGCGTATCGATATGGAGATGAAAATTTAACTAATTGATAAATTAGTTGTTATCGTATTATTCTATTGAGAGAAAAAAGTCAATGAAACGAAGAATCGAGGAGCATAGTGAGAAATTAATTAATATATATTTGTATAAACATATATATATATATGTATAAACAAATTACAAACGATAAATAAATTTTCAAATGACTTATGACAATTATTCGCAATGACATATATTTATGCCGACGCAATAATAACGAAAACAAGAGAGAGACGAACAAAATTAATTTACGGGTAATGCCGCTCATTCCTTTCTATCTCGCGCGCGCTTATCGACGATTCAGATCTGGTTTAATCACCCCAACAAAACTAGTTCACGTCGGAAATTCTCGAAAAACATCCCCGAGGCCGATCGTCTCGTGGGAAAGCGACAGCTGAAAAATGTTGTATCTATATTTTAATAAACGAAGAGACTCTCTCTTTCTCTCTCTCTCTCTCCGCGGTCTGAAAGGGTTAAATGGCGCGGGGAAGGGGGACCGTGTAAGAAAGGAAAAAAAAGGAAGGGGGTAAGAGGGGACTTCGGACATGTCCGCGCTCTTCGGCGCGTAAAAGAGATTTCGCCGACCGTTGCTCTCCGCAGTCGAGAAGCCGAAGGGACTCCGCGGACAGAGAGAGGAGGAGAGAGAGAGAGAGGAACACGCGGGATAGAGAGCGCGGAGAGAAGAAAGGAAGGAAGGAGGCTCTCGCGGGGGACCGCGGAGTACAGGCAAGAGAGGAGGGTTGGCTGAAAGGGTTAGCTGAATGGGAGCCGTGTGTATGCTTTCCTCGTTTGAGAAGCCTCGGATCGCCCAGGGCCGTAAGGGAATCACGCCGCGCCACCGTTCCTAACGCGCGCGCGCGCGCGCGCGAGCGCGTCTAAAGAGCCTCCAGAGCTCCGCGATAAACTGCTCGCGTAATTATTTAACACCCGTCGCGTGCGCGTCGCGATACGGACGCCCGGCTACGTACTCTTCTACGTACAAACAACACGCACTGACCATTGACGCGCCCTTACACCTTACGCCCTTGTTACGGGGCAACGGAGCGAGAGCGGTGTATATACGCGTTATTGAGGGTCTTCCTTTGCCGATATTTCTGTGGAGATTCCGATCGCCATTAATTACAGCATTGATTCGAAAACCGTCGGACAATAAACATATATATATATAAATTGTTCGGGAAAATTTATAACGAATAACAGGCGGGAGAAAATTCGATTTTGATTTTTTGTTGACTTAATGACGAGCGTGTTACAGAAAGAGAGTAACAACAACAGATAGCAGCGCTATCCTTTTAAACGAGAGAACACCACGGTGGATGACCACATTACGAGATGAACTTTCGGCTCGCTGGATCGATATCTTGATTCCGTAGGGAAAAGAAAACACACTTTTACCTGCCCGCGCGGTCCTTCCTAGAAAACACGCCCGGATGATCTTGGGATGCCTAAGCTAATTTTCTCTCCCGGAGAAACATTTTCCCGCTCGAAAAGTTTTTTTATGTACAAGAAGCCGTCTTTGTACATAAACCCCTCTGAGTGATCGATCTCTCTCAATATTTTTTCCTTACACGAACACGAAATCGAATAAATCACAATTAATCACATATTTAACCCTTCGGATCTTATAAGTTACGTTCGCCAACGTAAAACCTTTTGCTTTTTCGAGGTTCGAGGAGAGAAAAAGAGGGAGACAAAAAAGAAAGACCGACATTTTTTTCGTCGGTCTGTTTTTTTCATCTCGCGTCACGAAGAGAGCGCTATAATTAGAATTTCGGGGTGTTTTATAAAGAAGACGCGCGCTTTCGTCGTCGGTCACTCTCTCTCTCTCTCTCGTCTCGCACTGTGGCGGTGAGTCGACTCTGAAGGAGAGATATGAGAATTTTGCGCTCCGGACCCCCGGTTACGCGAGCGGGACACCCGTTAGACCGCGCGGGCTCGACCGAAGGGAAGGGCCCCGGTGACTCTCGAACAGCGCGGCGCGGCGCGGCTCGGCTCGAGCGAGCGAGCGAGCGAGGCGTTCCGAAAACCTGTAATTACGGACCCGGCGTACATCAAGCGATGCCGCCGCCAGTCGCCAGCCGCCGGCCGAGGTCTACGTCTTCCGTCTCTCTTTTTATATCCGTTTCTTTTCTCCGCCTTTCTCTTGCCTTCTTGCGCTTCTCCGTCGTCTTTCCCTCCCCCCTCCCCCCTCTCTCTTCCTCCACCTCGTCTCGCATCCCTCAGGGCTGTACTTGTAGAGAAGCGCGGAGCTTTCTCTCTGCGCCAATTTTTTGCGTATATATATAATATATATATATATACAAATACGTATAAATTATTTACTCTATGTACTATCTAAGAAAATATATAATTTATTTATATCTGTGGTATTTTTGCTCTTTTCCTCTTTCTTCTACTTTTTTTTTTTTTTTCTGAAAGTGCCGCCGTCGTACATGTTCCAAGGGTCGAACTTCTCTTGCTCTTCTTTTTTTTTTTTTTGTCCTCGTGCTTTATCTCTCGCCATGTCTCATCTCGTGTCTCTCCTGCCTACTCTCTCTATCGGGGAGGGCTTATCTGTCGTTCTATCTCCGTGGTAATTTGAGTACAATACAATTATATTTTGATTCGTATGTGCGAATGTGTCTATGTGTCTGTGTGATGTTTCAATAAATTTTTTTTTTTTCATTACAAATTTTATATGGATAATTCTTGTCTCTTTATAAGCTTTTGTCACAATTCGATTAACATAAATTTTAATTTTGTTTATGTTGAAACAAAATTAAAGGCTAAACTTACAAATTTTCGGCGATTGATTTCGTGACTGAATCACAATCCGGAAAGAAGAAACGCGCAATTTCCTTGAGAGAGGGAATTCATTCGGGAGGAGGAAAAGAACGCCGCGTCGTCGTCGTCGTCGTCGTCGTCGTCTCGATCGCGACGCACAAAAAGCCGGCGTGTCAAGCGGCTACATAGAGAGAGGTGTATATCGCCAGATAGCCTTTAAGATTCCTCTTCGTTCGCCGATGCCTTTCTTCTTTCCGTGGCCATCGTTCGTTCGTTCGCTCGCTCGCTCGCTCGCGTCTCTCGGTTTTTTTGAAGGAATCTTAATCGCTCGCCGATAAACAGACCTTCGCGTGATGATGATCGGGAGCGCGACCGGTGGCGCGGCTCCGTTCGGTCGCGTTTTTCATTCTTTGAACTCTTCCGTTCTGTATAATTAATTAGGTTTTTTTTTTTTTTTTAACTTTTGTCCAATAATTTAATTACTTTCGGACTTTGTGTTCTCGTATCAATAAATGTCAATTTGCATTTGCGCAAAGTTTTTGACCTTTCACGGACACAGACACGGATCTCCTCCCAGATCTACGTAAAAATGTCAAATTATTTATATTTGAAACTACTAGAAATTTGTTCAATTTGTTTTTTTATCGACACAGAATTGTCCAAACTTTTGATTAAAAAAAAAAAAAAATTGGAAAAATATAGATTTTTGCAGATATTCGACTTTTAAAAGTCGCGCTGGTCTCGCAGACCCAGTTTGTCCAACTAGTAGATCATTTTTGAGAATCTGTCGAAGAGATCAATTGCGAATATTTTTTCTTTAAAACACATGTGTTGGGCAGGATTTTAATGCTATATTTTAGATTCTCTAGAAAATAAATAAATAAATAAAAATAAAAAAGAACATCTCTTTGACAACAAAAACGAGAAACCGATCGCGAGAATATCGGAAGA